GTGCTCTATGCGCTCGTTCAAGTGATGTACAAGAAATACATCGCATTACCGAACGATCCCTCTGAAGCTTCTGTATACACCGAGTATACGGCTCTCGGTAGGGGAGAGACGCAGGATGGGGACTCGTCCCCCCTGGTCACATACCGGCCGCCGTTGAGCCCTACCAATGGCCGTACAGAGGAAGAAGATACGGAAGAAACTCAAAGACCACAACAGCAACAACAGCCAAATGAAAGTGTAGAGGCTGGAGACGTTCCGCAAGACCCCAGTCCTCCACCGTTCGACGAAACGCTACCCTTTGGACTTTACCCAAACTTTGTAACATCTCTTGTAGGTTTTGGAACGCTATTGCTCTTTTGGCCACTCGCACTTCTCGACTTGCTCTCCTCAAGTTCGACATCCTCCGTTGCAGTAGCCGTCGCCCGTGGTACATCCTTCCTTGACAAGTACGAAATCATACTCTCCATCGCTCTTATCGCGTCTGCGGGACTGGTTTGGAACGGAGGATACCTGATCCTTTTGGCTCTATGGGGCCCCGTCTTGTCTTCGGTTGGTAACTTGCTGACCATCGTCCTCATGCTACTAGTCGAGATTCTCATCTTAAATGCACCTATACCATCTGGGTGGAGCATCTTGGGATGCGGTATGATCGCGAGCGGGTTCGGAATGCTCGTTTGGGAGATCCTGCGACCCAACCAATCCGAACAACACCATATTCATGTTTGAAGGCTGGTCTTGTTGAGACCACTAATTCAGGGGCGGAATTGTTAGAATGTAAATGTTGACTATTTATTACAACCCGTAAAAATCAATTATAGATACATTTAATTCCTGAAGATTTTGTTCGAGTAGATAAGATTTTTGTTAGAGCAAATGGTAAGAGCAAAGGAGCAAGGGGTATGGGGCAAGGAGTAATGTGCAAGGAGCAGGGAGCAAGGGCCAATGGCCAAATAGTAAAGAGCAGGGTGCAAAGTGCAACGCAAGGGGTATGCGCAAGGAGTAATGTGCAATGAGTATTGTGTAATGAGCAAGGTGCAAGGCGCAAGGCGCAAAGAGTAATGAGCAAAGAGCAAGCTGCAAGGAGCAATGTACAATGAGTAATGAGCAAAATTGCAAGGAGCAATGGGATAGATGTAATCCATAAGTTTGGTGAGACGGAGTCGCGTGCTACAACCTTTTTGGTGCTTGTAACCTAACTGCTACATGGGCGAATGATGTGATTAGAACCCGGGATTGGTATGGTAAGAATGCAAAGTGGGGTGATTAGGGGTGATTTGCAACTGTGGTCTTCATGGACGGCTGAACGGCAAAAATTGAAAGCTCGACTTGGCGTTGAGGGAAGAGGCGAAGGCATACAACTTGGAAAGGGCGTGACTTATCGACGATGCAATCGATGCAAGTGGGTATAAATACCCGTGGCATACGACTCAGATCCAAAAGCACGAGATGGTACAGGTACCTATTGGCGCTCTCGACCTGAAGGATCGTCTTGATAAGTATGTGACTTGTACTTGAAATTGTCGGATACGCCCTCTTGAAGCAGTCCAAGTGTTTTTTTGCCTATGATTTAGCGACGCCTAGAGCTTGTGCCGTTACGAGCCTTGACAGTTCTTGAAGATGCTTGAGACGTTGCAGCGGAGGCTTCTCGAAGCTTCCGGAGCCTTCCACTTGCCCGGAGAGGCTCTGTGTCCTTTGGCTGACAATGTACACATGAGTAAGGCTAAATGCTATACTGAGAGACGACCTACTTCTTCCACTAATGCAATCTCGTCGTCCTCAGTTCGTTCACTTTCGCCAGATCCTATAACTTTAATGTTCTTTTTACCTTTATTAGCAGCGGTTTGTCTTGTGGGCCGTGTACTTGATGCCAAAGCGGCGTTCCGTTTCTTTGGCTGTTCGATCACTACCTCCTCGGTGGTCTCCCTTTCGTCTATTGCCTGCTTTTTGTTCAATTTTCGCTTCTTTGGGGCAGGAGCAGACTCCTCGGAAGTAAGGCTGCTTAACGAATCCAGATCATCTTCTGAGTCGCGTTGACCAAATTTGGATTTTTTAGTTTGGGAGCTACTTGGTCCTTGTGCTACGGCAGCGGTAGTAGTTCCATTGTGGTTGACTGCTTTGGTCACCCGAGTTGGTTGGGGTGTCTCGTCATAGCTGCACTCGCTCTCGGCATATTCTTGCTGAGGCCTACCGAGGATCCCTTCAATGGTCTGGAACAGTTGTTCTTCATACAATTCAATCTCTTCGTTGAGAATGGGTTCTAGGGGTCTTTCTAGTCGAACTTCGACCTCTTCTTCTTTAATGACAATTTCGTTGCTGGGAGGCGGGTCTTTGAAAAGTGGTGCAGATTGCTGTTCTCCTACGCGCACTACTCGGTATCGATCATTACGAGAGAGTTCGAGTCCATATCCGAGATCGACTCCTGTCTCCGTTTGTACTTCTATAGCTCGGGCTATTTCTCTTTCTCTGAGATCCTCTCTATCTTGGAGCATTTCCGCATGTCGCTCCAGTGCCACTGCTACCCACTCCGCATCCTCCTCCTGGCATCGCTGGAGGACTTGAGACCTCTCCTTGTGTTTGCCTAGATGGTATGGCAGCGTGGTGCTCGGAGGTTTTGGCTGCAGGTGTAAGATATTCGTCACCACATGCGTCGCTTGAGCGGGTTCAGCTATGGGGGATATAGGTTGAGGTGCAGGTAAACGTGAGGTGGAAGCATCGGTACGAAAAGAGGTTTGAGGAGAAGTGGCACTGGGAAGATCGGAGAAGTTGGAGGTACCAGAGGTTGAAGCAATGGCAGTTGTGCTTTGGCGTTGGGGACTAGAGAAACTTGTGGAAGGTCGAGGACCCCCAAAGACTATCCCACCGAGGTTCAGAACGGGAGGTGGGGCGAACACTTGGCTCATATTCTTTCCACTGAGCTTCAGCAAAGCGCGTTCGGATTCAGAGTCTCGACGCAT